ATCAGTGGCAACATCCTTTAACTTTCAATTTGACAGAAAAAAAGTGTCTCAATCAAATACAACAGATGTCCCAAAGAGATTCTTAAAAGTACTGTTCTCTTCAGAAATATCCAACTAAGTAGACAGTCACTCGAAAATATAGAGCTTGTGAATGTTGTATTCACAGTTTGGCAGACTTTAGGGTCTTTTTTCCTGGATTTCCAAACTGAAGAAAAATGACTGGCTTGGTGATAACTAGAAGTACCAAAACTGTGGCAAGAAAAGGGCTTAAGGCAGCATAATGACATTGCAGAAAGATAAATAATTTGGTTCAGGTCTTTAATTTTTCAGATACTTGAGCATTACCACCTAGTACAATCAGGTTATTCATGGGTAATTAACATCTATCTTTCCAGCTTGAAAAGATGCTTTTGTTCTCATGGTGTCGTCTGTTTGTCACTAATACTCACTTTTCAGGGAGGAGCCTGGTTCTGCTTTCTATCCCATATCATAGCTTGTGAAATAGTAAAATAATAAAGGTCCAGGGTCAGCCAGCTCTCAACTCCAGTTGAGGGGGGAGTTAAAAACAGCAGAGAGAAGGGAATTAGATGGTTGGGGGGGAACATAGAGTAAATATTAACTTCTAATTAAAGCCCTCCACAGCACACAGCCCAGAGACGGATCTCCACCAGCAGAGGAGGAGGATGTTGATGTTTAGGTGACCCATCAGGCCAGGATGTGCGAGGAGTTCTGCAGGTGATGGCTCTGCTCTGCTCTACTCTGAATGAGCTAATACACAGCTGATGGGGCATGAGGGCAGCAACTCCACGAGGACCATGGTTTTCTGCAATTCCTGTATGGACCTTGCTAATTATAGCAGTTTTCCCCCAGGTCCATGGCCATGGCTGCATTGCCCCTTGGTCTGGCTGGCTCCTTTTTTCTGCTTCATTCTGTCCGGGCTATTTTGGCTGCAGAAGGTCAATGCCAGCACTGTCAGGGCCAATGGAAACATGTCTGGGGGACAAAAGGAGATGGAGCATATGCCCCAGGACAAAGTAAAAGAAACTGTCCGGAGTTAATTAGTTTCCATTTTTTTCTCCTTCTGTTAGTGAAAGGATTGGTCTTAGAAATGTCTCATTTTGTTTCATTTCTAAAGAATGCTTTCTCTGTTGTTGGTGTTTTTTTTCTTTTTATGCTGGTTGCAGATCAGCATTTTTAGCTTCTTTTTTTTTATCAGCAAGAATATTAACCACTGAAGTGAAAAAGTATGTCTTTAGGAATCCCGGAAGAGAATATTTGACTTTCTGAAAATATATAACTCTTCCCTATTGGGCTATTTTCTCTTGAGTTTGGCTTTTACTACTCCACCCCTGGATACTGTAGAGCTGACATTTGTTTAAATTCACAAAGGAGAAACCTATTACTACATGAAATACTAGCAGTTGCAGCTTGCTGTCAGTGCAGCATGCAGGCAGCGTTGGTAGAACCTACCAAGAGCAGGTAGACACTGGAGCCTCTTTTGTGTAAATTCTCGAATGAAAAGGTCATAAAGAACACAAGACTAATCTATTTGGAGGACAGATTCCAGTTAGGTTACAAGATATGTGAATGACACCCATTCACTTTTGCGGGGGGGAATTCATCTGAATTGACTAACTTCAGAATGAGGTCTTTGAGTCCGACACCGAGGCTCCTTAAAAGAGTCAGTGATGAAACCTCATTTCCATACCTGGCTCTCTCTCTGTTTATGAGGTTATATGCCTACCTGCAGCTGGAAGAGTTTTATGCAAAAAAAATGTTGAAGCAAATCAATCAAATTAATGGCTTATGTATTGCAAAAGAGAAGAAATTCAGAGGAAGTCTGTGTGGCTGGCTGACGTACCATTTTAGTTCAAACTAAATGATTGTAATATATATAAATATGTACTTTTCCGTGTCTTAACAAAATGTGGAGTCATGGGAGACAAAGCATAGGATATGTCTGTAAATTGGTGATTAATGTTATTTTTATCTTCCTCTGGGCTTGATCTGAGAGCTGGTGGCTAGATCCCTCCACAGCCGTCTATTCATTCCTCTCGTTGCTAGCGTGACATTCAGTTCCATCTATTCCTCTACAACTTCTGTTCACGCTGATCTTGGCTTTCCCTTCCTTTTTCTTTCTTCTGTGGTTCCTTCCCTTGGCAGCCCATTTCTCTTTAAGCTGGAGGTCCTCAATTTTTTAACTCCTTTCTGAATTGTGTTTAAAAGTTCTCTTTCTGTAACTGGTCTTCTCTGCTACCCAGTCTTGTCTACATGTGGAAATTTGTGGCCTCATATTTTTCCCCCAAATGTCTAAAGATTCATAATTACTAAAAAGGAAAAAGAATAGAAACGATCACCTTTGCATCCTCCACAATAAACTACAGGAATTTCTGTTTCAGAGTGCTTTACTATAATCTCAGTGAACATTTTGTCTCCCTCTCTTCGGACCAAAGAAAACACAAGGAAATTCCCATTGTTTTTCATCTCATTTCTCAATTACTAGTAAAGCAGCACACCCTTATGTGCAGGCCTAACATCAGTCCATCCACAGGTCAGGGTGTGAATAACACTAATAAAAGAAAGCTTGTGTCATTCAGCTGTGTGTTCTCAGCCTTACCTGTGAACCGAGTAAAGAAAACAAAGTTGTAATATAGGGAGCTGGGAAACGGGGTTAGAGGTGGAACAGAGAAATGTGAGATACAATAGTACTCCCTGGCAAGGCAATAGAGCAGAGAGGAACTTTCAGTATTGCCTCAGCATAATTCAAAGAGTTCTCTTTTAATATTTAGATGTCTATCAAGAAGAGTAACCAAGAAGGGTTATGTGGAGTATGCCCACTGAATAAGTCATCTCTGCTGTGTTGGAATCATTTGGAGAATTGGAAATCATCAGCTTGGTAGCATTCTGTTTAATAGCTCAGTAGACAATTTAAAAATAAACCAAGTGAACATTATGCATTCATGTCAGTCAAATAATGCTAAAATAACTTGATAGTCACAGAACTCCACCATATCGGCTGACAAGAGGGAAGGTTTTAGGCTGGAAGTTATGTGTGGATAAATCTCCAACATAGGAGTTGCATTCGCTGGAGTTACAGCAGCAGGGCACTGCTCAGACGTTAGAGCTTACATGTTCAGTTCCGAGATGAAACTGGAAAAAAGCCAGCGACGATGAACGTAGATTTCCCAATACCTTGAAAAAGAACATAGTGATTTCTTCCAGGTTTATGGAAAAACAGTTGGCTTCTCTCAACTTAGCCTCGTGTGGGCTTTAAAAATCCTTAAAGGATCGAAACGACGCCCATCAATATATTCAGCAAAGACAGTTGCAATAAAGCATTGAATGGGGATCAGGCACACTGCTGCTGTTACACCACGGTCTGTGCCCTGCTGAAGTGCTGCTGCTTGCACCACTGGCTCTGGAGGTGGGAGCCATATTTCTGCATGCAAATGAGCTGTCTCTGCATCAAACCACGGTCTCAGGTTGGGCTTCTTGGTTTGCACGTCTGTTTCTAAAAATATATGTTGTTTATCAGGATGATGTTGAAAGATGTTTCAGAAAGGCTGGATCTTGGTATAGTCCCAAGGACTGAGCATAGAAATAGGGATGGCAGAACAGCAAGCCAAAAGCTAGTTATTAGAGATGTCTTGCTCCCTTCCCCAGCCATCACAGTTTACTTTCCTGCTGCTGACCACACCTCAGGAGGCTTTTATTGCTTCTGGTCCCCTCCATCCTTGAGGCAGCTGTGGCAGGTCTCGCTTGAAACATGCCACCTTGAAGAGGCTCACATCCCCTCTGCTGATGCAGTCCCATCACCTCATCTCCCTCCCTCGCTGCCATACCTCCCTGCATTGGCTACAGCCAACATATTTTTTCTTTCTTGATGTGGGTGCCACACTCATAAGAAGATAGAGGTTGTGTATGAACTGCATAGTGCTTCATGTCATATTTATATTAATTATATATGATTATATATATAGTATATAATCACACAGGACACTCCCAGGGCTGCTTATGTGTTGTTTGCATTTTGCACCCTCTCTCACCTCGCACCTATTTGACAGCATGCAAACGAGCAGCCAAATACTTCTGTGAAACAAGGAAGCCCGGACTGAAATCTGTTGCTGTGATTTTTTTAAAGCTTCAGGGAGGAGGAATCAGAGGATCAGTGGAATTCCTCAGAGAGGGAGGAATCAGCTGTATTACAAACCTCTTTCCTTTGCAGGGGGTGGAGAAATAGAAACAGGTGAGAGGAGGGGCTGGGAATTTTAATAAATCCATTTCTGCTGGCGCTAAGCAGCTTTCCTCATGTGTTAGTATCAGGACACACTGCAAAGGCAGCACTGAGCACACCGGCACTCCCACGCTGTGAGCCATGATAATGCTTCATTTGGCGTAAGGTCTGTCAGCTCAGCATTCAGGTTTTTTTGGGAAAGAATTAAACAGCTGACTAAAAACGACAAGCAAAAATGAACTTAAAGAGGACACTAGAACAGCCTTGAAACCCGTTTGAACCACGCTGTTGTGGTAGACTGCATCCTGTGTGTGTGCATGCTTGCATGAGAAGTTACTAATACATATAATGTTAATTACCCACTTCTGTCCTGAAGCAAGACTGGGAATGAATTTCAGGAAAAGAGATGTTTGTTTAGCGCGGGCGCCCACATCCCATATACTTTCAGTCCTGAGGAAATTGCCCCGTATCTCCACCCTGTGTACGCTCATGCCTGTAGCTGTAGGCAGTAAGTGGGGAGCTTACGGAAACCCGTGTACCCCCCGTTCCTCCACGTCCCCCAGCATGGAAAGCCTGACCAGCAACAAGCCCAGGGTCTATTCCGCTGCTCCTGCCTCAGCTGAAGCCGTACAGCTGTTGCCTTAGTAGAGAAAGGGATTGGATTTCACAGGCTGTGTAATCTGCGACAGCACTGTTTGGCTTGGGGATAGCAACAAGCCTCACCCAGGCTTAGCCATCCCCTTTCTGCCCATAGAGGAACGCCCCGGTCGACATAGAAGGAAAATTGTTTGCTGAATTTCTGCACAGCCCTCCTTCCAATTGCTGGAGAGAGAGGGGGAGTGAGAAAGAGAGAGAGTTTAAGGCAGGCTCTGCACTGGTGTTCTGGGCTATTTCAACTTCAGGGCAACTTTAGAGAACTTCAGTTATTTTTGGTAAGTTTTTTTTTTTAAAACAAACCCCCCTCTCTCTCTCTCTTTCTTTCTTTTTAATCTCTGATGCAGATTGCACATGTTTGCAGTAGATGATGGGCTTTTAAAATTGCAAAGAGATGTGGGTGTGTGTATTTTGCGTCCTTTGATACAGAAACTGGACAATCTGATTATAAAGACATAATGTTCCCAGCTGCTGTACTTGATAAGCGAAACCTGAAGATGCTGTGCATTAAGCGATACTGCTGGGGAAACGTATGGCCAGAACTTCAGCCAAGGTGCATCCCACCTGGCATAAAGCTTTGTCTCTTTCTTGTGTATGTGAAGAAGTGAGATCCGGGATGAACGAATGTGTTCAGCCTGCTAAAAAGTTTCTGATCCATATTTTTAATGCAGGGGTTTCAAGCTTGTGCACTAAGCCTCCCAAAGCTTTCAGAGGGATGTTGGTTCTCTGTCCTATACACACCCCTCCATTCAGTAATCTCTATTCCAGATCATGCACATTGTTTTTCTTACTTCCTCTGTCTGTATACTTAACCCATTGTACGATCTCAAAGATAGTGAAACTCTCTTTTGAGCTCTCTCAAAGAGCCAGTCCCACTTGTTGCAATGAATCGCAAGGTGCAAATTGCAATTTACTTACAGTGAAGTTGGTTTCTGATGAATATGAGTTTTCTGTTATTTGTTTTCCCCATAGATATGTTTGGATTTTTATAGTATCTGTGCTTCTACAAGAGGAAATCTATTTGTGTGGATATTATATCTCAATAGATACCATTTGCAATGTATATATATCTATCTCATACTGACTTGGCACTAGGATCTCTGTATGTTAGTGGTATTTGAGACTAAGATTAACCTTGAAGCATTTAAAAAACAGATCCATAACCTTGTCAGTAGAAGTGGGATCCTGTATGTGTTCACTGCGAGGCTGCTGAGGCTAGTTCACAAAGGGCTAGGAAATATGCTGGGTAAAATTATTCTGTCCACCTGTCTAGGTTCTTTTCCCCATCCATGTACCTTACTATGTTTCTGAACACATGAGTACAGAGGATCAGAAGTAGGATTTGCATCTGTAGCCACCTGTAGAGAGAATGAAAAATACATGTTCTTAAAGCTTTGATAGAAAAGAAAAAAAACATTACTCACATGAGAGAAAACACCAAAGGTCTACCCCTCTACAACAAAAATAACCATTCTTCTTTATAATTTATGAAACATGGAACACAGAAATTTGGAAGGTGACTCTTAAGAGATACAGTACTTAGCTTATGATCACCTGTTGCATGCACGAGGGAAAACTTCTAGGTATTGCCTTGCTATATCTCTTACTATAATAAAGTAAAACTATAAGGAATTCTGCAGATCCAAGCAAATTAGAGGAAAAGCAGCTTACGACAGCCAACTTACTTACTTCCAAAATCTATCCTAACATAGGTCAAAAATCCAGCATGAAAAAGTTTCAGATTTTTAACAGCACAGGAAAACGTATGAAGTCTCAGAATTTTTTGGGGTTTATTAGCTATGTTTAAAAATGATAAGTGTGACTGGAACTTTTAATTGCAGTAATATTATAACAATGGAGTTAACAATAACTCTTCAGCAATAAACTGACAGCTATAAATCTGTGCCAGGCGCTCTGCAGTGCTGACATGTTCCATGATGGCTGTAGCTTTTCTGTGGAAGCATGTAGGTTTGTTAGCTAGAATTGCATTTTACTATCTTTGGTGTCGCACTCTCGTAAAGTAAACTCTACTATTAGATTACGAGGCTTGTGTAAATCTTCGACTGAAGTTGGTTTGACTCTAGTCAGTGCTCATAAGCAATCCATCAAGGATGGCTGCCTTCCAACCTCCTTTACAGCGAGTGTTAACGTCTTTTCAGTCGGACGGGGCAGCGGTAACTTCTAGCACAGATTCGCCAGGGGTTTGGAGATGGCACGTATTTTCTGCTTTTAATTGTCTTGGACGCTCAATCTGTATTCATAAATATGAGGTCAGCGTGCCTCTATTCACTTTTGGCTGTACTTGAAGCGCATCACTGAAACAAAATCCAACAGCCTGTAATACATGGTCAGGGGAATAGCTATGATCTGAGTTAACCTCCTGTTGACTTCAGCGGGTTCAGTGCCCCGTGCTCAGAGGCACCCTTCTCCGGGAAGCCATGCCAGGAACTTCACAGGCACTTTACTTAGCATTGTCACTGTGGGTGGAGAGAGTAGCATGTATAGCATCGGGATCTTACTGAAGTGTCATGTCTTCTATGAAGCCACAGGGATGTATATTCCCTTGGTTTGAACCTCTAAAGATGCACAGAGCTTTGGGTTGTTTTTTTCCCCTCAAGTTTTCTACTAGGGCAAAGGAATCAGTTCATCCTATGCAAGAGTAAAACACTGAGGGATTTAAGTAAGATTTTTTCCAGGATTCCTCACATCAGGAGACCTAAATAATCAGAATATAAGGCAGTGTATTTGAAAGGTGCGAAATTTACTGGCTTATATTCTGAGTAAATATTTGAGTAAATAGATTCAATCTATTTTTTACATCTAGCTATTTTTGCATTCCGTAATGTTCCTCACATCAGGAAGCAGCAAAATATGCACTGCAAGAAGTCAGGGTTTCCACCTCTGGATAAACATCTCCCTGTGGTTCTGGGCTCCATGTTGCAGGTTCAGTCGAAACTTGTAAGGTTGCAAACGGCCTCAACATTAGCTCTGCTCTGAGTGAGGAGGGGACCTGACCCTCTGCACTGGCACAGGCAGACTGAGCAAGGGCGAGCTTTTGCTTTCAGGCAGTTTGCCACGTCCCTGAGCCCTAGTGCACTAAAAAACTGTTTTCCTGACAACATCATCAAAAACTACTGCCTTTCCTGCTTCCCTTAGCTGTAACTTCCAATCTGCCTAGCAGGCTTTTCCCTCCAAAGGCAAGTGGTGGAGCTGCGCCAAGCAATGTAGGGGATTGAGCTCCTGATGGAGCTAAGATTAAACCCTGCCAAGGCTAGGTTGCCATCTCTCCACATGTGACAGAAATCAAGACAACACTCTTGTGGCAAGAAAGATCCTTTGGATGACCCACAGCTGTGCCTAGCCCCGGTGTGGGAGGATTACAGCTGCACCTAGGGAAACTTGCTAAATCCATGTGTTTGCTCATCTCACTCCGGATTTTAAAATCAAGGCTGGAATTCATTATTTTATATTGGAAAACAAAACTTCAGGCTAGGAGAGGACCTTTCACATACTAAATACTTCCTACCAACATGTTTACTTCCTGAAAGGAGGCTATAGGTAGCCAAATATCTGGAAGTAACCGCTGACTTATTGCAGAGAATGGGTCTACAGTTTTCTATCAGAGAAGGGGAACCCATGGGTTCCCCCCATCCAAATCTGACCAAACGTGTAGTCCAGAGTGGCAGGAACAAGTCAAAATATGTTAAGATTATGGCATGTAAGTAATAAATAAGCCAAGGTAACTGATAGGGGACCCATCTGCTCCCATGGCATAGGGACGGCAGCTCTGCAGGGAGCGAGTCCCAGGCCTCGGAAGAGCAGGCACCGGGCCCACTTCATCTGCCCAATAAAGATAGCAGCGTCTTCAGAGGGCAAAGTTATCTGTTTTTCAAAAACACAAACAAGGAGATAAGGTTTATATGATTTCCAAGCCTGCTGATAAATGCTCGAGACTCCAAAGACATAGTAACTGTTCTTCACTGTTGGGCAAATGTTATTTCTTCTCTGTAGTTAAGAGAACAAACACCACTTGATTTTGATAGCGGTGGGCTGTGCCTGACATTCGCAGAGTCAGGGGAGAAGCTGTTATCCATGCAGCCATCTGATTTTAAATACCTTTTATTTCTTCTCTGTAGTTAAGAGAACAAACACCACTTGATTTTGATAGCGGTGGGCTGTGCCTGACATTCGCAGAGTCAGGGGAGAAGCTGTTATCCATGCAGCCATCTGATTTTAAATACCTT